ACATTCTATTTAAAATTAACAAGCAAAATTTCTAGTTCTTTTTCCTTTGTCCTTTTGGCTTCTTTCCATATCATTTAAGGGAAATGAGATTTATTTGTAAGGAAGAATATTAAGAATTTGAATAGCAATTAACTTATGTCATACCTCCCAATTACTCATTATGTGTGATCTGCATAAATGCATCAGGGGATTTAGTGTGAACACAAGGATGGCAGCAAGAAGGAGGATCTGCCAAATTTGTGTTAAATGATCTTTACGTCACCAGCTGATAACAAGTCTAAGTACAGGCATTTCTTACTTCTTTTCCCCATTGTTTCCAAATCAGTTAGAACTTTCATTCAGGTTTGTGTTCAAATAATGTGACCTATACTCCTGAGAGGGGCTTAGTAATATTTCCTCACCTGGTTTATACAGAAATGACTGACCTGTGTATCACACTGGTAAAATGTACAACAAGAGCTATAAAAATCCCAATTCTGTTTTTGAAACAAGGTTAATGAGTTTAAATAATCATTGCTTCAGAAAGGGCCCTAGCAATCACGTGAATCAATGATTATTTGAATTTCATAATATAGGCCATTAATTCATTATGCTAATGAATTATACTAATAAAGCATGTTAATTCATTAAGAGTAGGGGTCACCACTGTTCCTTTACCAGTACTTCATCTTGGATTTATGCTTAAACAAAAAGAACATCTTTTTCTTCTCACACAGCATCCTGTGTGATCTCCCATTTCCACTTGCCCTCCACAGTTAGTTCGTTCATTAATCTGCTTGTTCATGTATGCATGTAGCACATATATTTTTATTACTTGGTACTTTTAAATAGCTAGACAATGTGCTGGGTGCTGTGTCTACAGTGGTGAGCAAAACAGACATAGTTCCTGCCCTTATGGAGCTTTAAGTCTAGAGGGGGAGGCCTTCATTAACAAATGAACAATATTATTATAAATAAACTGAAATGTGATGTGAAAGGAAAGTAGGGGAGGCTATGAGCACATACACTAGGGGGACCTGGTCTGGTCTGGGAAGTCAGAGACAGTGTTACTGAGGAAATGATATTTGATCTGTTATCTAAAAGATATGGAGGAAATAACTATGAGGTAGGGGGAATGGGAAGGTGGAGAACATTCCAGGTGGAGGAACCAGCAGGTGCTAAGTTCATGATGGGCGAAGGAACATAGGAAGCATTTAGGGAACTAAACTATAGAATGCTGTGTAGCTGGAGCAGGGAAGGAGGAGGTGGAATGAGCTGAGCACAGTTAGCAGGCGGAGGTGTTTCGGGGACCTACAGGCCCAGGTGGGAATGTGGTCTCCATCCCGAGTACAGCTGTGTTGCAGCTACTTCACCGTCATCTTCATGAAGGCATGCTTGGGAGATTCATGATGAAAAACCTAGTGAATCGCAAATATGGCACCAGCCACGACAAGCCTGGGGCTCTTGATTATTTTTCAGGTGTTGCCAAACTCCCTTTTGCTGGAAAAGGGTCTGAATATTTTAGACAATGTAGGTTTAACTTTTTTTAAGCCAGTGTTTCTCAGTTTATTCACACAGATAATTAGAACTAGGTAATGTAGTCCCACTTAAGTTCAGAGATTTTATAATGATGTAAAAATGCTATATATTTTGTCTTTGGTTGAGATAATGGCTTCCCATAAAACCTCATTAGTTCAGGCTTATAGGGGTGGACAAGGCCTGCCTAGATACAATTACAATTTATTTAAAAAAAATATAGTAGCAGTATTATATATTCATGAGGTTGGAGCAATCACATAATCCACCACACAGCCACGATATTTAAATAAGATATGTAGATGATTTTTCAGTTTATGCATTTTAGAAATATCTAACAACTTTCTGTTATTATCAACAAAATTTCTGTCTCCAGCACTGCCCTCACCTTTTTTCCTTCATCGCCCCACCCCTCCAATATAATGACATTAGTATTTCCATTTAAATTGGTGCTTGCATCAGTATAACTATGTATATTGTTCACTACCAAGCCAGTTAAGTTAGTATACTGTAATTATGTTTCTTTTCTCTTTGCACAATTCTTCCCTTTTCTCTTGAGTTAAAATTACCTTTTTTAATTTGCAATATTAAAATACGCATATTCTTAATTCTCTTACAAGTCTCCTCATCTAACATGTAGGGTAGTGTCAAATCATTCTTTTTTTCTTTACAGCCCTTGTGTCCTTGCTGCAGTTTGGATTGATACTCTCTAGGTATGATGGGCAGTAGTCATCCTTAGGTTTCTCTTCATCAGTCTTTTTGAGTCAGATCCCCTGTTTATTAGTGCCTATGTTTTCATCTTAGTTTTCTCTCTTACTTGGATGGAATACACCCTCCATTAGCTTCCTGTCACAGGGTATGGGACATGCTTCTCCTGAATCCTTGAACTATTCTTTTTATTTCTGGAAGTTAATAGGACATTTTGTTTGCCTCAGGCTCCAAAATGTTAGAAGTACCTTATCTCACAAATGTCAACTCAGAATGCATCACAGAGCTAAATGTAGGCTATAATTTTAATGCATCTAGATAAAATACAAGAGAAAACTTTTGTTACTTTACGTTAGTAGAGTATTAAATTTTATGAAAATTAAAACTTTTGCCTTTTGAAAGTCACTGTTAAGAAAATGAAAAAAGCAGAACACAAAATGGAAGAAAATATTTTCAATATATGTGTATCTGACACAGGACTTGTATCCAGAAATGCAAGGAATTCTCAACTCAATAATAAGAGAACGGTGAACTCAAATTTTAAAAATTTGCAAAAGATTTAAACATACACTTCACAAAAGAAAATATATGAATGGTCATAGGCACAAGATAAGATGCTAACATCATTAATCATCAGGAAATGAACATTAAAATTGCAGTGAGATAGCAACCCACACCCATTAGAATGGCTAAAATTAAGCAGCTTCTTTAAATGTTAACACCAAATGTTACAAGAATGTGAAGCCACAGAAAAGCTCATACACTGAAATTGATTGGGAATTTTTAGAAAGTATAAACTTCTACTATATGACTTAGCCATTCTACTTCTGGGCATTTATTCATAAGAAACAAAAACATACTCCATATAAACTCCTACACATGCATATACTTACATATTTATTTGTAGTAGCCCCAAACTAGAAACACCATAAATGCCTATGATTGGGTACACAGACAAAATGTGGTATATCCATACAATGAAATATTTCTCAGTAATAAAAAGGAATTAAATATTGATATACATAACATCAGTGAATTCCAGTCATTGTGTTAAGACTGAAAGAAGCCAAGCACTAAGGAGTATATGTTATATGAACCTGTTTATAATTCTAGAAAATGAAAACTAAAGTGACAGCAAGTCTGTACTTGGCTGAGGATGGAAGTGCATGGGGAAACTTTGGTGGGATGTAAATATTCTGTATCTTTATTATGTTGGTATGTCACCAGTATATGCATATGCCAGCACTCATCAAGTTGTATACATTGAATGAATGCAGTTTATTGCACTTAAATTTTACCTTAAAGTTGATAAAGTAAAAACAAATAGTTGTATGCATGCATGAAGCTATTAATAACCAGTAGACATCATAGTCACCAATTTTTCATCTTCAGAAAGTCTCAATAAATAATAGAGATGGTATTACAAAGAGAATGGTGCATTAGATTTGTAATAGGTTTCATATCATTAATTCTAAAGCACTTTAATATAGATTTAGTAACTTATTATGTTTTGCATATAGATGATAGGTAATGTGTATTTTTCTTTAATTGTAAAAATGTTGGAAGTCTATATAATAGTTATACATATAGGTCTTGGGTCAGAATCTCAAGTATTGAGTTTGATCTGCATTCTCATATACTACAGGTACAACTTCTAAGTTTAAAATATACAATAAATTATAAAACTTTTTATGACATTTATGACACAATTGAAGATTTAAACACTGGCATGATATTTAATGTTAAAGAATTATTAATAGTTTCTAGATATAGTCGGGCTGTTATTTTAACAAGTCCTTATCTTTTAGAAATACATACTTAAATGGTATAATTTCTGATATTTCCTTCAAAATAATACCAGAATGAGGAAGTGGGTGATCTCATAGGTGAAACAAGATTGGTTATGACTTGATAATTACTAAAACTGGATGATGGGTACAGGTACATGATAGGGGGCTTATATTTATTGTTTATATTTGTGTGTTCTTGTGATAGTCCATGATGAAAAGATGTGTACATCTTCTAAATTACCAATTTCACTTCTAGGAATTTATCTTAAGGAACTTCTCAGGGGTGTGAACCAACAGTCCACAATAATGTTTAATGTAGTATTGTTTATTAATTGGAGACAAATACTTAATAAGAATTTGGTTAAGTAAATTGGTACAGTTGTATGTTGCGATACCATGTAGAATTCAAAATTATGTCAGAAAAATATATAATTACATGCAAAAATATTTGTGATATATTTTTAAGTGAAAAAAAATTGCAGGCTCCAAAACAAGATATTTACAAGTCTGTTTCAAAATTTTATAAAAAGTAAATTATAGGTATATATTTGTTTATGTGTGGGTAGAGTGAAATTATCTTCATAATTTGCCAGCCTTTTTGTCATAGAATACTTCTTTCTTTATTAAAGATAGTTGAATATTTTCACTTTAATATGTAAACAGTACAATGTACTTTATTACTTTATTACTATGAAATATCACTGTAAAATATTTTATTTTTTATAGTTTGGATTTTTGGTTTATTATTTTTTGCCTAAACGTCAGTGTCTAGAATACTGTTTGGCACCTAGTAGGCTGTCAATAATATTTAATGAACAGGAACTAGGGTTGACATTAAAAATTTTTTTCTTTACATTTTTCTGCATTTTCCTTATTTTCTTTGAAGAACATATATTACTCTTAAAATCAGAAATTCACTATTAAAAAGTGGATGATTTTGATAGGCTAATGTTTTATTCTTCTACTCTGAGATGTAATAAACTGGAATGCCTTCCTTAAAACTTCATATAAAATCTGAAATGAAGATTTTTTTCAATATCTTTTTATTTTTTCGTGTCTTTTCTAGTTTCAGCTCTCAAACATCTTCAAATAAAGAAGAGGTGATAAACAGTGGTAAGACCTGTAATTGCCCTTATGATTCCCTGGGGGGCCAAGGAAGGGTTTTGTCTGTGACTTTTCTGAATACTGGTGCTTACATCAGAGTCTCTCATGTGAAAATCTAACTCGTGTATTCTAAATTATGAGCCCAAAGAGGCTCAAGCACCTAGCATATTATTATTACTCAGTTACATTAATAAATCAATGATATTTAGCCTTTGTATTCATAGCATTTACTTGACAGGTCAACAGAATAATGGAGATACGAAGCCAATCCAGAATTTCTCAACAATACCAATCACACAGGTATGGGTATATTAGAAAACTAGATTGTAGCTTTAAAAAAAACTTTAACACATTTCAATCATGTCAGAACCATTCTGAAAATATAAATAGTAATTCTGTTAATAACTAACATTCTGCTTGAACTTTGGGTGGGTAATCTGGTAGTTGAGAAAAAAAGCAAGTTTCACTTGCTTTCATATACTGCTGACCCTTGAACAACATGGGTCTGAACTGTATGGGTCTACTTATACAGGGTTTTATTTTTAGATTTGAGACAACTTGAAAAATCTTGTTCCTGGTTTACTTTATTGTAAGAATATAGTATATAATACATGTAACATACAAAATTTGTATTAATTGATGGGCTATATTACTGGTAAGGTCCACTGTAGGTTATTAGTAGATTAATTTTTGAAGAGTCAAATGTTATATGTGGATTTTCAACTGTATGTAGGGGGTTTGTGCCACTAATCCTGGCATTGTTCAAGGGGTAACTGTATTTTCATTGCACTTTCAGTTTTTCTGCTTTTCCAGACTGGACCACTATTGTACCAGTCTGGCTTTGGTTGTTGGTAAGCTCAGATCGCTGCTGCCTAATTTCTCTTTTATCTGTACCTTTACTGGAGTAATTGACATGGAATAGTTGATCTAGATAATTGGATCTTTTCTCAGATACAGACCTGCCTTTTGACTTCCATAGTTGGGTGCTGAAGTACATTCGCTGTCTTGGGCTATCAGGCAGTCGGCAAAGGTTTCAGAAGATGTTGAACAAATGTTAGAATGCCTTGCTAGTCTATGTGTATTAAATGATCTGGAGCTGCATGGTTGAAGATGGTGGCTACTAGCCACATGTGGCTATTTACATTTAAATTCATATGAGATAATTTTAAGTAAATTAAATATTAAGCTCCTCAGTTTTACTGGACACATTTCTAGTACATAATAGCCACATACAGAGCCAGTGTCTGCTGCACTGGACAGTACAGATATAGAATATACCCAATATTGCAGAATGTTCTATTGGTCTGGAGAATTATACTTGATTTCTAGAAACCTCTTCTTTTCTTTGGTTAACCTGTTAGTTTTTTTAAAGTTCTGCATTATTTGGGTTCTTACTATATTGTTTTCTGAAGATATTACAGCCATTAGTTTCATGGCATGGCGAATTTTTTTTAGTTAACAGATGTTAGTTTTTTTCTGAATAGTTTCAGGTTTATAGAAAAAAATTAACAGAAAGTACAGAGCGTTCCGCTCAATCCCTCCTCCTCCGATTTTCTCTATATTTAATGTCTTGCATTAATGCAGTACATTTGTTAAAATGGATGACCCAATATTAATACATTATTATTAACTAAAGTCCATGGTTTGTATTAGGATTCACTCTTTGTGTTGTACATTTTATGGGTTTTAACAAATGTGTAATGATACCTATCCATCATTACAGTATTATACAGAATAATAGTTTTCATGGCCCTAAAAATCTCTTGTGTTCTATCTATTCTTCCCCTCTCCCTCTCCCTCTCTCAGCACAGTGCCTTTTAAAAATCTGTATTCCTATTATGATCTGCAAAGTTGGTTTTTTTAAACAATTCGGTCCTTTCCATTTTTGGTGCTTTGTGGAACTGGGTTCCTGTCATTTTAGGCTTGTGTGGTCTGCCCCACCTCTCTCCTTTTACCAAATGATAGCATGGACTCAAGCTAGAGAGATCAGAGTTTCATTATGCTGTGAATTAACCCTTTTACTTCCCCAAAGCCTTTTGTATCATGGGAACATACTCATCTCTTATATTGTGTTTATTTGCTCCATTAGGCTCTCAACTACAATCTGACCAGACAAAGGCATTTAGGAAACGAACCTTGGATTGCATTCAGCCATCATAGACCAGTTAATGTCTCTGTAGATGGAATTCCTTGCATTCTCTTCTGGTCCAGAAGAATAATAATTAAATTTAAGAATCAGAGCTGGCTGGACCTTACAGATGAAGCTTTTGGCCAGAAAGCAACAGTGAATGCTGTCAACTCAAGCTGCAGTGAAGAAAGTGCCACGTAAGTTGACTGCTTCTCTAGAGGAACCCCTCAGGGTGACTGCAGTCTGTTAACTGGATGGTCCAGGTTTCTTTCATTTTAGTCAATCGTAGTAGGCTCCTTTGTACATGACCCTGACACACATCTCTGAGGAAATGTTTACTGTCTAAACTGAAAGAACAAGTCCAAAATCCATTTTTTTATCAAGTATTTTTTCCTCAGCAATTTTCATCTGAATTTTAGCTAATTGTTACAATACCTTGTGGAAAATCAGAGTTCAGAAAATGAAGGTTTTCAAATTCATTCTGAAAAAGAGAAGAGGACTCCAGATTTGGTAGCAACTCCAAATATGAAGTGTCAAAGTACTTTTGTCCCAGCAGAGAGGAAAATCAGTAATCACAGAGCAGAGTTCAGCATATTCTAGTGGGTAAAACAGAGAAGACTGGCTTTAGCAAGGGCAGATGTTCCATTCTAGGGAGTATTCTGAGGTTGTGGAATGTTGCTTGTTTGCAAATGTGCAAGGGTACCTTGGAATGGCCAAATTTCAGAGAATTATTTAGAACATTTCAAAAGTGAATAGAATAATCAAATAATTTTGATTTGAAATAAGCATATTAAACAAAATATCCTTTATGAAGAGAAAATCAGTTTTCATTGCTTTCTCTGCTTTTCAGTCATCCATGCAAAAATGTTTTGCTTGTATTTGTTTTGATCCAGGGGGAGGAAGTCTGGTGTGGCCCACTTGCTTTCTATAAACCTTATTGCTTTCAACATTTGCTGGTATAATGGAGGCTTTTGGGAGATTCTCTGCATTTAGTCTGGCCTGGTTTAGATGGGCAGAATGCTTTGTATAAACCATAACATACTGTGTATTTGTGTGTATCCTTTTTATATACTTTGGCTGGAAACACTTTTTTATTCCTGAACTTCTCATTTAAAAATGATTGATGATAGGTAAATGGATTATATTACTATACACTTAAAAGTTAAATTACAAATCTTAGTATCTTGCTCTTCAGAATGACTGTCTTTTACTAGGGAATTAGGAAATTGCAAATGTGCATATCTTGAGCCCTCCCAGATTTTTTATTCTTTCAGCATGACTATCAAAGAGACTCCATCACTGCTAGGAGCTCAGGACCTTGCCTCAGGCTCTTCGTTAATCCCCTGCAGGGGGGTCTTCATTCGTGGTCAGCTGCCCATAGAGGCGCTGGTTGCTTGGGAAGCACCTGGCCTGCCTGTGGCCGACTGGTCCTCCTTGATCCCACTTATCCTGACTCCAGGGTATTTGTGGGGAAGATTAGAGCACTGCAGCTTTTTGCTGGGCTTTAGAAACCTTAATGATCACTGGGAACCCAGAGACAGAAAGAATGAATACTTGATTTTTAGGCCCAGTTCTGCCAGTGAGTTCTGTGATTTTACATACAGGAGCTGCTGTAGGATCATCCCTGTGAGATGGAGATGTTGGCACGTTAATTGCAGCTAACCGGACTTGAGTTCTTACCATGGGCCAGGCACTGTGAGGACTAACAGGCATGGTATTTGTTGTTCTTCACAATACTATTGTGAAGAAGTCCCTGAGTCACAGGTACTATTTTCATCCATGTTTCAGGTGAGGAAATCAAGGCTTGTGGAAGTTAGGAAACTTGCTATCATACAGCTCATATGGTAATAGCTCTGGTGTCTAAAATGTCTTAACAATGACATTTTACTTCCTCTCTTTTGGCTCCATCTCACCGGGTCGTGAAACCCAAATAAATAAATGAATTCATAAGAACTTTATATTCAGAGGTGTTTCTCCACGGACGACTATTATCTTCCTAACTTAGTAATGATAACATGGTTACCTGCGGGAGAGGCCTGGGGAAGCTTTGGTTTTCACAATACATGAATTAATGTTTGGGGGGTACCTGAGTTTTTCTTCTTGGTTGCTGTCCAAGAATTCTCCTGAGGCGAGTCCTGAGTGTGCAGTCTTACCTTCTGGAGTCCTGTTGAGGGGAGTGTGCAGCCTTCCTGGAGGGCCAGCCCCAGGGGTGGAGTGGGAGACTTGCCTGGACGCAAGTCTGCAAGGACCAGCTACTGAGACCGCCCAGTGAATTGCATAGATTTGTGATGCCTTTGCTGTGCTGGCAAGGAAACCTTATGTGCTCAAGAACCAGAAAGGGAGTTGCTGAAAGAACAAACCCAAGCAAAGACATAACCGTGTAAGGTCAAAAGACAGATTAAAAAAAGATGACCGTGTTTTAGCTCTTGGAAACAGAATGTTCAGGGGAAGGCAAATTGTTGGCAGATGGATTTGCTATGAAGTCTTTTTAAATAGTGAAAACCCTACAAACAGAGCATAATCCCAGCATGTGTGGATTTTGAATTTAGGCAATTGCAGTCTGAAGAATTCATAATCCATTTTAAATGTGAGAGGGTAGGGTGCTTGGAAGAGTGGAAGAAGCTCTTTCTTGAGTGACTTGCTGGGTTCTGTTTCTCCTTTGTGTTCCCAGGTTATGGTGGAGTGCCCAGCACTTAAAAAATTTTCACTCAACGATCGTGAAATTTGTTTTGTTGAAATCAGACCTTGTGTTGTTTACTCTGCAGCAGAGCATATTAACAGTTTCCACTGAAGCCAGGACAGCTAGAGAAAGCTCTTGGAGCATCAGAAGCATGGAGGCCCTTGAGCTGCTGCCTCAGCCGCAGGCACAGAGATAGGGTGGGCTCACCATGGCTGTGTTTTGAGATTTAGTTTGTTAGCTATAGAGCCAGTTTAGGGGTAACTAATCTATTCTGATTCCTTGGAAGGACTAGAAAAATTTCTGTTAGAGTAAATGACCAGTCAGATTTATAAAATAACTACTCAAGAAATGGATTTTCCTTCTTTCAAGTATTTTCAGTAATTTGTAACATACTGTCAGAATATTGTAGAAAGATCCTCTTGTAGACTTGCTTTACTGAGTAAATTAGCTCACAAAGTGTTTATAAATGAGTGTTGCTAAGGTGTCTGAGTTTATGATGTTAGGAAATAGAGATATTTCTCTTAGCAATCTTATATGATTGATTTTATAAACACGTCCCTTTTTGCCATAAGTAGTATGAAAATAAACTTCAGCTCAATCACTGAGTCTTCTGTTTCTTGATAAGTGAGACAAATTAATGAGATTATATTTGTGTGATTTTTTTTCAAGGTTTTTTGTTTTTATAGTGTATATTGAGGGGTTATAACTTCTAGACATTATAATGTCACATAGCAGCATGTGTATTTGAATTTCTCACATTTTCTGATGTCAATTATTTATTAAGCTTATCATTCTTATTTTTCAACCTTATTGAAATATAAATGAAATACACTTAAGATGCACACATTTAAAGTATACAATTTGATCAGCTTGGACATGTTTAACTATGAGACCATCACCACAGTCAAGACAGCAAATATTTTCATCACTCTCAAAAGTTCCCTTGCGCCCTGCGTAATCCATCCCTTCTGCCACTCCCACCTCTCTAGGTAACCACTGATCACCTTTCTATCATTATAGATTAGTTTGCATTTTCAAGAGCTTCATAAAAATATCGTTTTACAGTGTGCACTCTTTTTAGTCTGGCTTCCTTCACTTAGCATAATGATTTTGATGCTCTTCTATTTTGCTGCACATATCAAAGGTATGTTTCTAACTTATACTGATGAGTAGTAAGTACTCCATTATATGGCTATACTGCAACTTATTTATCCATCTACCTCTTGATAGAAATTTGTTTTTTCTTTCAGTTTTTAGATAACTTTCCAAATAAAGTTGCTATAAACATTCATGTACAGGTTGTTGTAGGTACATATATGTTCATTTCTCTTAGGTAAAGACCTAGCTGTAGAATAGGTGGATCATATTGTGTGTAAGTTTAGCTTTTTAAGAAACTGCCAAATCATTTTTCAAAGTGGCGCTACCGTCTCCCTTCCCGCCAGCACTGTATGAGAGTCCCAGTTGCTTTGCGTCCTTGCCAACACTTGGTATGGTCAGTGTGAGACTGTAGAGAAAATACTTTCATGTTTCTGCAGGGTTAGTAATTTCTGAACAAATTTTACTAGGCCCTGGGTTAAGAGCTAAGCCATGGGGTTCGTAAGAGGTCTACCTCCACAGAAGAAAGTGTTTACAAGTCAAGGAGTAATGAAACTGAGCACCATGGAGTCATTCCAGGGCTTGGAAATCCAGAGGGGCTTCTCATCTTCCCCTTGGAATCATATGTAACCATTTATTTCCTTTATGTTGAGCTATTTGCTCCCATCTAAAGGCTAATAAAATTCATCTGCTTACATTGTGAGGCAGGTACTCAGGGTCCTTCTCTTTTCTCATCCAAAGGAAAAACATTGCCACTAAAGAAGCAAATGTTTCCTTCTCTCAGGAGGTGAAGGGGACTGCCCTCTCTGTCCGATATAAATTCCTGGATTCATAATGTTGGGGTTCCTCACTAGTATTACAAATCCCAGGATGTGCGGGCTGACATCTGGCTCTCATCATGTTGCCCACAGGGAGAAATTGGATTAAAAGGGGAACCAGTGTAGTTGTTGCTATGAGGTAGTAAAAATATAACTCTGCTTCAGGTAATTTCATGTTAGCTTTCAGATAAATGGGGATAAATATGGATATTAAAAGCTTAGAAGTAGGCTTTAAAAAAAGAAGTTTTAAGCATTTTGATGACTGTACCATGGTGTTTTATTTATTGTGGTATATTTTCCTGATTATTAATGATGCTGAGCAATTTTCACATACTTATTTGCTGTTTGTACATCTTTGTGAAGTGCTTGTCTTTTGATCATTTTTAAGTTGTGTTGTCTTCTTTCTATTGAGTAGTTAATATTTATTGTATTCTAGATACAAGTTCTTTGTGTATGTGTTGTGAATATTTCTTCTGTGACTTGCCTTTTTTTGTTTTCTTAACAGTACCTATTGAAGAGTAAATTTTTTAATTTAATGAAATCAAATTTATCAATTTTTTTCTTTTATAGTTCATACTTCTTTATTTTTTCAAGAAAATTGCCTACCCCAAGATTGCAAAAATGTTCTTTGATGTTTTTTCTGCAAATCTTATAGTTTTAGTTGTGGTAATTTTTTAATATAATGTGAAATAAGGGTGACTTCTATTTTGATGGACTGTGCTGTTCGTTTCCTTAGGTTGTCTCTGAAGTTTGGTGACGCTGAATATCCCAAAGGTCTTGGTATCAGGTAGGTATGGACACCACTTTGGAACCTCATAGGTTCAGCACTTCACATTAGTTCCATATAATTTATTCTTTCAACATGTAAGTATCAGGGGCCTACTATGTGCTAAGCACTGAGCTGCGTGAAATGCCACGTTTATCTAAGCACACCGAAAGTCAGTGATGTTATGATGGGATCCTATAGTAATACTTTTTTCTTTTACCAAAATATCTATGGTTTTTCCTTCCTCAATTAGGGAACTAGAAAACACATGTATCTTTTCCCTCTGAGCAAAGAACAAAACAGCAGTAGACTCACAGACACTGAGAAGTGACTGATGGTTACCATGGCAGAGGGCTTGAGGTGGGTGGGTGAGGAGGGTGAGGGGTATAAAAGGGCACAAAATCTTCAGTCATAATATAAGTTGGTCACAGGTATGGTAGTACAGCATGGAGAATATAGCCAATGGCTCTGCAACATCTTCCTATGTTGACAGATAGTAATTGCACTGGGGGGGTGGGGATTTGATAATATTGGTAACTGTTGAACTACTGTGTTGTATACTTGAAGCCACTATAAGATTGTATATCAATGATACTTCAGTTAAAAAATATATATATTTAAAGTTCCAAAGCTGAGGCTCTAGTCTGAGGTTATTTTTCTATATAGATTTTTTTACAATGAATCACACTTAATCATTTAACAATAAGGAAAAAATCTCTCTCTCTATATATGTATCTGTTTGATATAGGGATGGGGAATATTTTTGATTCACATAGTACTTTTTATCCCAAAAAGCAAATAGCTTTATGATTGTTATTTTTTCTGATGATAAAAGTCTTTGGCAGACACTGTCAGCATCTCATCTATATCCGTTAGGCGTTTCCATTTGAGAGCACTGTAGTACGTCAGCTCAGCTTTCACCTGCTAGCCTTTCTTTGCCTGATATCTATCTCTGGCAGAAGAAGCCCACTGCCTCCCATAGCTATCCCAGCAGCACTCAACCAGTGACTGAGAGAAGTGTTTAGATACCCACCTCCCTCACCCTTAGGGGTCTCCTTGTCTCGGGGACTCAGAAAACTCAGACTCATGCATTCTACTCTGAATCCCAGGGTTCCCCATAGGTATCAAGCCCCACTTGCCCAGCAGTGGAAACTTGCTTAATAATGTGTCTTTTTCTGTTTCCAGTCCTCTGTCATTTCTCTTTCTCCCTTCTACATATTTTGAATGACTAAATTAGCAAATAAATTGGACTCACCTCCCCAAAATACTTCTTGTATTCACATCCTTGTCTCGGGGTCTGCTTCTGTAGGAGCCCAGATTCCTCTAAGACAGGGTTATACATGTCCATTGATAACAGAAAAATCAGAAAATATGGAGCTATAAAAAGAAGAAAATGAAAATCCATCCACCATTTGTAATCACTGTTAGCATTTTGATCTCTGTCCTTCCGGAATTTCTTTCTATGTAGTCACACATTTTTAATGAAAAAAAAAATGTCATGTCATATGTTTACCTTTTTTTTAATTGCTGGAGAATAACCCATTCCAAAAATGACTAAAGGTAATGATTGGATTTGAAGCCCAGTGCGATTATTTACTATCTGAGTAAACTTGCACAAGTTATTTATTTAACCCTCTGTATCTTAATTTATTGTTTGCGAGTTGACAGTACGACACTATCTATCTCTTGGTGTTCTACTGAAGATTAAGTAAAATACACATAACATAGAAGGAGCTTGACATAGAGTAACAGCTATTACTATTATTTTTGACCATTATTTAGCTAATTCTATTATTGTCCATTTAGTTTTTCTCAAATTTTTTTGCAATAATAAAATCAAGTTTTGATTCTAAAAAAGAGAAAAACCCCAAGCTCTTTGTGTTTTTCCTTTTGTAGAAATTTGTATTGCTCACTTTTGGGGGCAGTCCTGGCATTTACTCTCACTCCGCTAATAAGGAGACTTGTTCAGAACTAGGAAAAGTTGTCTCTGAGCCAGTTCTACTACTTGACAAAAGAGGGCGCGATTGTACTGTTCATGCACAATGTCCTGCATCAGCAAATTTAAAAGTGCTTTGTGGGTAATACTGTTTTATAATATTTTTCAGATTCTCCCTTACCAATTACAGGTCGTCTATCCAGAGCTGGTTTAGTTTGCACCGAGTTGAGATTATTTTCAATAATTCAATCCAAGCAACTTTTAATGCAACTGACATATATGCTCCATCAAGTTATTCATACCACTGTCACCGAGTCAGCAGCCTGCAACGCTATGATGCTCTCTTGTTGCCCAGTGACATGGATGATATATCAAGTCTGTGGGAAGTCACTTTTGTTGATTTCCAGGTAATAAACTAAAACAAATGCTCAGTGCATCTGTGTATTTGGTGCCAAAGAAACTCAGTGTTTGTTTGAAAACACCTGAAATATAAATATTTAAGGAGAAAAGAGGAGTGGATACCTTTAAAATAATACTGGTATTTTTTCATTATCTTCTAATATATGAAATGGACTAGGATAGCGTATTTCCTCTCCCTGTGCACTACACCCTTCCCCTCCCACTTGCTTGTACATTCAGGGTTGTCCAGTCACAAATAATTATCAGCAAGGAATGCTAGTAGTCTAAGCCAGAGTGAAGCTGTGCTGTGAAGCCCAGTGACTGACACTGCCTGGACTGAGAGGCCCTTCCGGGGAGAGGAATTGCGGACAATTATTTTATTTCCTTCAGGGGGCATAGAAGTGATCCTATCAGGGCAGATAAGAAGTGCATCTGTAGAGTGAGTGACAGCCTTGGCAGTTAGCACAGGAATGAACTGTCAGCGAGGGAGTCAAAAATATCCCACAGATCCTCTTGAAAGTATTTGCAGAAAGGCATGGAGGCCTAAGAGGTTCCTTTTCACCACCAGGATCTCAGGCTGAGAGAGATCTGTCAACGTCCTTTGTCCTGTTTACGTGTGAAAGAAGCTTACCTTGTCCTTTCAACTCACTGAAATAGCCAGAGTTTGCATGTCCCTTTTATGGGTGCTTTCTAATCTTTGACATATATAAACGGAAATTCCAAGATATATGTATATTTACTCTCCCTCCCCCAGCATGGAGAGGGGTGGTAGTGATGAGAGGCAGTTTGGGGTAGGGAAAGAGCTTGCATTTTGGAGTTTGAAAGACCTGGTTTCAGATTACTTTTCAGCCACCCAGGCAAACTATTGCACCCTCAATTTCTGACCTATTTTTACGGGTGTAAAGAATTCATGGTCTAATATATGTGGCAACACCCAGGACCACATTAAGGATGGATAAACAGTAACTACTACTTACGAGTCCTCTGTGTGTCAGCATTTTTATGTCTTTGTCTTCAAAAGTTGTCATAATACTCCAAGACAGGTATTATTATCCCCATTTTACAAATGAGATGACTGAAACTTTGATGATTACATAAGTTTTCAAAGTGATATAAGTGGTAAATGGTAGAGGCAAAATTTGAATTCTGGACTGTCTGGCTCCAATGACACTTTATAATATATATAATGTATATGTATTTATATAATATTTATAAAGTATATATATTCCTCTCTCATGCTTTAAAAAGGGGAGCAGGAAGAAAGGGCATAAGGAGGTAACAATGAAAACAAGGAATAACTCACACATAATCTTGCCTAATTAGAACAGCAGAACTGATTAATTTATATATACACCTTGTTCCAGCAAAGACAAGCTTATTTATAGAAGTACTACAAAAAAAAACTTTGATAATGGGCAAACCACTTCATACCCATTAGGATTATTATTATTAAAACGAAACAAATCCCAAAACAGAAAATAACAAATGTTGGCAAGGATATGCAGAAATTAGAGCCCTTGTACATTGCTGATGGAATGTAAATTGGTGCAGCTGCTGTGGAAAACAGTATGGCAGGTCCTAAAAAACTAAACATAAAATTACCATGTGATTCAGAAATTCCACTTCTGATTATATAACTAAAGGAATTGAAAGCAGGGACTTGAACAGATATTTGTACACCCATGTTCACAGCAGCATTATTGACAATAGCCAGAAGACAGAAACAGCTCAAATGACCATCAATGGATGAATGAAAAAAACAAAATCAATATCTGCAGCAGCATAAATGAATCTTAAGGTATTATGCTAAGTAAAATAAACCAGACAAGAAGGACAGATATTTGTATGTTTCTACTCACGTGAGGCATCTGGAGAAGTCAGACTGAGAGATAGAAAGTGGAATGGTGGATACTAAAAGCTGGGGGAAGAGGGGAATGGGGAATTCGTGTTTAATGGGTACAGACTTTTGCTTTTGCAAGATGGAAATTCTGGAGATGGGTGGTGGTGGTGATTGCACAATGATGTGAAGCTACTTCATGCCAATGAGCTATACACTTAAAAATGGTAAAGATGGTAGATTTATATTATGTATATTTATAATAAAAAGAGTGTAAAACAGCAAAAATGGGCAGAGACATGGGGGTTAAGAAAACAAAAGAAGGATCGGTCAGAACCACCAGTGAGGTTGGTATGCAAAATCAGAAGAGCATCTATCTGCCCCACTAGAAGTGGCACAGTAATTTAGCTCTGAAGCTTCAGAGAAGCAGATGTAAGAGTCACCCAGTTACATGTCATGGAGTTCATAAGACTTCTGAAAATATGCTTGTGGAGCACATGCATCCCTTGTGTTATGCATGCCAACATTCTCAATAGCAGTCTCATGGCAGACACAGCACTGGGTGTTGGAGGTGGCCTCACTAAACCACCCTTAATGTAAGCAGGTGGCAGGATGCAAGCTCAGTCCAGGGGAAAGGTAGTTCAGGTGTGTATACAAGTTGCATTCCACATATGCAGTTTTGCTGATCTGGCTCATCCTAGGAATAAAGGGTGGCATGATCTCACATGCATGGCTGACTCACATACCCTGGGTAAACCCTCAGATGCCTCAGGTCAGCAGCTGGGGACTGTGGGATAGGGTAATCAGCATCACAGGAAGGTCCTTTATCCAAATAGCTGATTTCTGATTCATAAGAATGCAGGCCCACTGTTTCTGGATCTTCTTACTTTCAATAGAAGCTAAAATATGGATTCTATGGGAAATTTTCAGGATGTTCAGGTCTCTGAGCCAAACAAAACTCACCTGTGGGCTAGATACAGAGTGCTTATAACCTCTAGTCCAGAAAATGGATGGACAGCATGTTCTTCGGGCACTCTCCACAGACAGCTGTTGTCAACCACTTCTTAAGAATTAGGTGGCAGTCGCTGTGAGGACAGTCTCTTTGGCTGGAGTTGCAGCACCAGATGAGGCCTTCTTTTGTCACTGATAGGTTTGGCTCTTCAGGTACTAGTCTGAAGAAAAGGCCGCTTTGCCTCTTCAGAGTAGGGGGAGGCCAGCGATCCCGGAAGCCAGGGCAAGAGTCTCCTTGGGTGGCTACAATCATTTTAGCAAGGAAAAATGCTAACATGCCCACTTAAGTCATAAAAATGAATTCTTAGTAAAGCATTCATGTATAATTCAATTTTCTGATGTACCTTGTCAAAACTAACTTGTTGACTGAATATATAGGGTTATATTCTAAAGCCAGCTAGATATGGGAGCTGCCTTCCACAAATGACTACTCTTAGAGTGTTTACTCTGTAGCCTTATTTCTTTTGTTGTGATACTATCTAGATATTGGGGCCTGTTGCTGATTTGAACCCTCTCCTAGTCCCCAATAATTAAGCCACTTTATCTGCACAAATGAGAAGGCTTTTCTTTCTATTCTCTGAGCGGGATAGAAGGCGGGGCCGATATACAGCTCTTCTAAAACCAGTATCAAGTCTGTGTGGTACAATGGATAGAGAGGGAGAGGTAGTAACAGGAGGAAAAAGAGACAAAACATACCAGGAGTTATGGAGTCATAAACCGAGAAGTGACTCTGAAGCCAAATTGCCCAGGTTTGACTTAGAGTTTCACTACACTTAATGCTGTGTGACTCTAGGCAAGATGCTTACCTTTTCTGTGCCTCAGTGTTCTCATCAATAAAATAGGGATAAAGTAGTAATTTATTCATAGGTTCTTGGGAGTATTAAACAAGTAAGGGCAGTGTCTGGTACATAAAAAATCTTCAATTAGAGTGAGCTTTTATTATTATCTCACTAGGAATCATAATATCTTCCTTAAAAGATTTCCTGTCCGCTTCCTGTCAGCATAATCAAAGGCAGAGGAACTGAGACTTACTGTTCTTTGTGAAATTTATACTAACATTCTGAGTGTGCTTTAAATTTAGAGACACCACAGAAGTTGTGGTTTTAGATGAACTAGAATGTTCCTAAAAATTAGATTAAAAGATGTTTTATTTCAGACCCTTGAGCCTCAGGAGCCTCTTAATTATGACAACCATACATCTCAAGGTTTCTGGGTCAGTCTCAATTTAAAATTGTTTCACTGTTCCTGTGAGCACACTCATATTTGTTAGATCATGTGTTTAAATTATTCAGCATATATGGCACCAGCAACTTAAATTTGGCTAATTAGGGGTCCAGAACCCCCAGCACAATTTGGAAGTAGATCTTAGGAGAGAAAGAATATGTTACTTCCGCTCTTTCTCCTGACAGATCCAAGGCTTTACCATTAAGGGGGGACAGTTTGCCAGGACGCGAGACTGCACGTCTTCCTTCTCTCCAGCCATTGTAATCGGCCTGGCGATGTCCCTGATCCTGGTGCTCGTGCTGGCCTATGCCCTGCACGTGCTCTTCTACCTGCGGTACCTGGACCGGCACTACGATTTCATCGCCTCTCCAGCCCACTTCCCCCAGCTGAAAGCTCGAGATGCAGCAGAAGAGAAGGAGCTGCTGAGGAGCCAGGGAGTCGAGTGCTATGAACTAAGAAGCCAACAGATATGCAAAATTTACATTTGATAGCACAGGCCCCCTCTTCCTCACGAAGTTCACAGTGGGCTCTGAAAGGAGGTGTTTCTGTTCTGTGCTGTTTGACTTGTGACACACGGTTTTCACTAAATGGCTTTTTTTAAAAAAAAGAAAATACATGCAAAGAGTACATTTTGAAGCATCCATTGGCTGACTTAGATAGACCTGGGCAATGAAAAAGGTTATCTCAGGAATCCCACAGAGATCAATATGACTGTTGCCCCAGGGCTACCTTGAAAGCAAAGGGATGTTTCCAGTTAGGAGATGAAGAGTGATGCGATTTAGAGAAGGGAAGATACACTTGGTCTTCCTCATCCATGCTTGTTTGGAAGTTCAGAATTTAAAATATTTTTTAATGTAGTTTGTAGTTTTCAGAAATTATATCCCAACTTTATTTTAAAAAATAGTTTTTTCTCTTCACAGAACTGTTTAGGGAAGACGCCTGTCAGTATGGTAGAACACCTTATTCAGGGGCTTTCTTGTCATTTACTTTGCTGTTCAGAGGCAGCCCAGGCCAGTCCCTGCAGGAGGCGTGACAGTCCTGGAAGTAGCCTTCCTTCCTCATCCAGCTGTGGTGCCACTGTTTGTCTCAGTTGTCTGACTTAGACCTCCACCAGCTCTCCCAGGTACCGCTTCAAATAAACGGCTGCACGGAGGAAGAACTGTGTTCGTTATGCCAACACAGCTGATTTATGCCACAAAAGACTTGGGGAATATATATATGTGGGAATGGATTCTGAAGATGCTAGTTCAGAGAGCGATGTGTGTAGTTTTAGACTGGGCTGAATTTTTTGAAGTAGGTTCTCTTCCCAGATTTTGGATCAGATGTGCTGGTTTGAGCAGCTGGGAGTATTTCCAACAGTTTACTAGGTTGATTATGATCTGAACTCAACAGTAACATGCACTAAATGAAATAAACCAGAAATTCTTGGTATAATACAGAGAAAGAAAATAAATTTGATAGAGAATTGGGATGTAGGAATAGATTTATCATGTCATGACCGGCTCTCCATCCCCCTAACTCTTTTCCTCTGTGGAGGCCCAGAGGACACTCCTTTTGTCATAAACTGAAAAAGGCATTGGGAACATGGTATCAGCATTTTTGAAGTGTGCTCCACTGGCCATCCCCTGTAGGATGTGGATGAAGAGAGGGACTGCACTGGAATCCTTAGGCTCAGTGGGGAACACTGAGGTCTTGTAGTGGCAGAGGTCACATAGCAGCACAGTAGCCTTACAGGGCTAAAGGGCTGGAGTGTTAGATTAAATTGTTTGTTGTAATAAAGTGGTCTATGAGAGATGTGGCTGGCAGGCCCCTTCAGGACATGTGCAGCAGAAGAAGCAACATCCATCTGGTGTGAAAGGACCTCACATGAGGCATCGTGGTGGATTCCCAGAGCTGCATGTTCATGACTCAGGAAGAGAGCCCTTGACTGAAGAGGAGACCTCTTTAAAAAGGGTCTTTGTGCTCCTTATTTAATGTTGAGCATTATTGTGAACAATTTTATGCTTGTCCATTGGGTATATACCATTTTGTATCACTTCTGATGTATTTTTATCTTCAGAAGCAGAACTAACACACAATTCCCATGCATGCCTTCTTTATTAACACAACAGGTGTGTGATTATCGCCCTGTAATTGTAAGTGCTACAGGAGTATGACCTAAAAGAGGCCTGTCTTCCACAAAGGTCTAGAACAATATGGCAGAGAAAGTGATGGTTGACATGAGTAGAAGCTGACCAGGTGGGTAACATGGAGAAGGACAAATATGGCAGAAGGAAACACATATGCAAAGACCAGAGGTTAGGAGAACTATGATATGTGTATATGGGCAGGCACATACAATGTATTTAGAGGGATGAAAGATGGTGTTGGAAATGAAGAGAGGGAACAGGTCACTGTGCTCAACTAAAGACTTAGAATCTTGACTTGAGGTAATGGAGAGACCCTTGAGAGGATTTTAAGCAAGGTGATTACATGGTGTAAAAATGTGAGTAAAATAAGACAGATATGTCAGGAAATTATTGCAATAGTTTGGATAAAAAAACAATAGGACCTACATCAATACAGGTGTAAGGAAGGAGCTGGGAAAGGTATTTAGGAAGTTGGTACAATAAGACTTGGCAACCAGTTGGCAAGCCACATTGACTGGTAGGTATCTTATCTGGGGTGCTGGGTGGATGGTGATGCTAGTCTCCACAATCAGGGAGAAACAGGTAAGGGTAGGCGATGGAAGATTCCTCTAGATAGGTCCTATGATAAAGGTCCAAGTAGAGAATTACATATATGAATCTGGGGCAAAAATTAGGAAATCTGGAGTAGAAATAGAAATATGAAAATGTAGCAGTGCTGCCAGTGATCCCGCCAGTATTCCTATGCACCTTTCAGTGCGTCCTGCCCCATCCATTCATTGCCAGTAACTTCCCTCAGAGGCTGCTCTGCCTGCGGTCATTGAAGGCTGGAGCTGCTGAGGAATTAATGCCCCCTGGAGTGGCCCTCATGTAGTGACTCTTGGGAGTTGTGTATAAATACCCCAGCTTATTTGCTCCTTGACTGGAATAATTTTAGAGTGGGTTCTACACAATTTCCTGGAGTTCCCCAGCAAGACTAAAGTCCATTGTGTTACCTATCTTGCTTGATAATGTTCTCTTTATTAACTCTCTTCTCTGCCCTATCTTACTTCCTTGCTCCCCTAATGTTGCTTCCTTATATCACCTCCAAAATAAAGTACTTGCATTCAAATCCTTGTCTCAGGGCCTGCTTCTCAGGAACTCAAACTACAAGAAGTAATGCACACAGAGGGAAAATTGCATTTGAAACAGCTTATTTTTACAACTCGTATAAAACATACAGTTATAAGAACACAATGCTAGGACCCTTTCAGGGCCATGGACAAGACCAGTGTGTGTGTCTGTGTGTGAATTTTTACAGAGATTTGCCCTTATACACAACTGTGGACACTGGTTAAAAAAGTCTGTAAGCCTGTTGTCTTCATGTCAGATGCCAAGACTTGAAGTCTACATGGCAGGCAGCTAGGAAGGGAAGCAAGAACAAGCTAGAATCCATGAAGAGCTGGGACCTTGAGAGTGAACTGGGACCTGCCATTGTTTACCGCCTCCAGCCTTGATAAAGTAGTGCCCTTTGCCAAAGAGCTAAGCAAACGGTCCAGGAGTTGAGGATGTTTGAGGAGTTGAGGATGTTGGATGTTGATGTTTTTGTAAAAGTTGATCCAGGAGAAGGTAGAACAGCTACAGGCCTGGGTGCCGCCCTCTGCCAACAGGGTGAGCCTGTAGATAAATGATAATGTGCTCGAGTTACAAATGCACCTGACTTTACCTTTTAATAGTTAAAAACAATGTGATGGCTGCTTCACTTCCACCTGCTAAATCTCATGCAAATAGGTCTCTCAAATATGGCCCACCTTCACCAGAAACACACAGGGAAATGAGTTCTGGGAAACACAGTTCAGCCAAGCTATATTGACATATTATGAAACCTCTACAGCTTGCCCATTGTCAATTTGGCACCCGTATACATCTCTGTAAACTACATTTATTATAGTATGTATCTTAAAAATAGATACATTTACAGAGTCATACTTCTGCCTAACATTATACTACTATCTACCCTGTGTACAACTGAAAATAAGCTATAGCCCTTCCTCCCAAAGTGTATTCTAACTCCTGTCTGTGTTTTTTGGTCACATTCATTCCTTTTTTAGGTTATTCAACTTCCGCTTTTGATATCCTGTAACTTAAATTCTGAGGTACAAGGTTAACAACTTACATCAACACATGATAGATGGTAGGAGAATAGGAGAAGGAAATAAAGCAGAAGTATTTGGTATGTATACGATCATATCAAATAAACATGAGCTACTCATAACTATCATACTCATTTCTGCAGTTAGTCACATGGTCTAGCTGCTATTTATAATTGCCTTCTGTTAGATGGAGTCATGTGCCTGGTGCAGTACCTACACATTTATTCCTCAAGTGTCTGGGCCAACTTGTTGCAGCTTTCCATTGACTTTAATCCCAGGACACAGGAGATCCAGGAGGCACCCCAGGGTCCTTTTCTGCCCTCACACTGTGTAGTAGCAATCCAATTTCCCTGCAATAATGAGAATCAATCACCAGGACCACCAGGGTTTCAGGACCACTGGAATTCAGGCTAGACAATTCTTCCTTGTGGGGGCCGTCCTGTGTCTTGTGGGGTGTTTCAGCAGCACCCTTGACCTCTACCCACTAGGTGTTGGTAGCTACTCTCCTCCTGCACTGTGACAACCAAAAGTGTCTCCAGAAATTGCAAATGTCCTCTGAACAAAATTGCCCCCAGTTGGCAACTGCTGGAGTAACCCATTTCTTTGCCAGTTGATTCACAGGCATATAGATCCTAAAGTGGCTGTGTGGCAGTCTCATTTTGTCTCGGGAACTAAGACCTCCAAACCAGCCATGCCTAAAGTTGAAGAAAGGAAAGCAAAACTATGTTAGAGAATCACTAGGGCTATTCATGAGAGGATGTACTCCAATGTCCATCCCTTGATTCCCAGATTCATGAATCCTGGTATGCAAGAAACAGAACCATACATTGAGGTATATACTACATCCTGGTCCATATTGCCCCAGCCCTGGAAGGCGTTGTCACCTTTCAGCACTATAACTGAGTCTTCAAAAAGTCATTCAGTTATTCTATCAAATAAGCTACCTCAAGATGATAGGCACCATGGTAAAAACAGTGTATGCCATGGGCACAGGCCCAATGACTGCACTTCATTTGCCTTGAAATGAGCTCCTTGGTTAGAAGCAATGCTGTGAAATATCATGACAAAGGATAAGGTGTTCTGTAAGTCCACAGATAGTGGTTTGGGCAGAAGCACTGTCAGAAAGACATCTATGCCTAGGGTAAATGGTAAATGTTTATCCAGTGAAAAGAAAGTGCTGCCCCATGATAGACGTGGTCCAGTGTAGTCAATCCACCATCAGGTAGCCAGCTGATTCTCTCTAAGGAGTGGCTCCATCTTAGGGGCTCACTGCTCTTCTCTGTGTTGGCCGATTGAGTTCCTCCATAGTGCTATAGCATAAGGCTTGATGGATAGGAGTCCATTTTGCTAAGTCCATGCATTACCTCTATCCCTGCCAGTGTGGCCTTTTTATTTGAGCCTATTTGGCAATAACAGTAGATGGAGAAAGAAGTTAACTGACAGTCACAGAACCAGTCATCCTGTCCACCTGATTATTAAAATCCTCCTCTGTTGGAGGAGCTTCCGGCATCAGCACTCTCTAGAGGACTTGTGCCGGGGGATGATCATCAAAAAGCCTCCACAGGGATCCGGACGATGCTGTGGTTGTGGCTGCATCCACCCCACCGTCTCCTGGACTTGCCATAGGAATGAGGAGGGAGATGTCTAGGCTGGCATGTGCATACAGTGAGACAACGAATTTGACCGGATCTGTACTGTTGGAACTCAACCAGGAGTTGGGAGGGGTGCAAGTTGTAGCACTCCAAAATCTCATGACTATAGACTATCTATGGTTAAAAGAACATATGGGATGTGAACAGATCCCAGAAATGGGCTGCTTTAATTTGTCTGATGGTTCAAGTACAGTTGGACAATATCCATCATATCATAGATAAATTTTCACAAATGCCTAGGGTGCCTAAATGGTTTTCTTGGCTTCACTGGAGATGGATGGTAATTATAGATTTGCTTTGTTTATGTCACCGTATTCCTATTATGTTAATATGTGTGTGCAAATTAGTTAGTAGTTTAAAACCTATACATACTTAAGGTACTATACAAGAAGATATGTCAAAGAAATAATCAATCCTCCCAAGTTTCCTTCATATGCTACATCTATAGCTTTTCTTCTTCCTTCCTAATTACAAACCTTAAATAGAATTCGTGCCTCATATCGAATTTACCGAGTATCATAATTCCTCCAGGTGGTAAAGATACCTCGAGACAAGTGCTGGGCATAGAAGCCACAGGGCATAAATCTGCAAAGAAGTAAAAAGCTAACCTTTTCAAACAATATGGCTTCTCTCTCACTTACCAACTTTACATTTCCCTGTATGGCCCCGGAAGATGACTGGTTAGCCAGAGACGGGTAAGATTCCTCAAGGGAGGAACAACCTAAGACAGGCACAGTCGCAGGGGGGCCATCAGGTGAGAATTTGGGGATCAACAGAGGTGAGGCTCAGAACCTCACCCCCCCTGCTTTGAGAGAAATCTTCTGCATCCGTGGATGTCTTGCTGCCCTTGTCTAGCCTGGATTAATACTTAGTCCATAGGCACACACCTGATCATCTGATCATCTACATTTGCCCTCTTACAGCACTAAACTATGTTTTCTACCTTTATCTTGCATCTACCTACCACTTCAGCATTTTATTAAAAATAAAAATAATAATAATAATAAAGGGAGAAATGTGGGATCAACATATAAATCAAGTACAAAAATCAAATGAATATTCATATTTGACCTGATTGTTTATAGGTCATAATGCGTGATCAAAACCGAAAGTTTCTGTGATGAATGCCCTTGTACTGTTCACCATGTAAGAATTTATTCACTATGTAAGAATTCGTTCACCATGTAAGAACTTGTTCATTATGCTTCAGAAGATTGGAGACTGACGAGAATTAGACTTGAGATGGATTAATGATTGTACATTGAGCATTGACCCCCCCTATACTGAGTTTTATTGTTGTTAACAACCATTTGATCAATAAATATGAGAGATGCCATCTCAAAAAAAAAAATCCTCCTCTGTTGAGATCACACTTTGGTGAGCATTCATATGGGACACAAACATTTTTGCATTCTGCACCCATTTAGAGGTGTTTACCCAAATATTCTCTAGGTCTTTATACTACCAGTTTTCCTGTTGTAGTTCTTTTGAGTCCCTGACTACCCAGGCAAATCAGTAGCTCCACCTCCGGAATTGCTATAGACCCGTAGATCTAGTTAATTTTCCTGCCAGGCAAAATGAATAAGCAAATGTATCACTTGAAGCTCGGTCTGCAGGGAGGACTGCTGCTGTGCATACCTAGCTTCATGGGCTTGCTGAGTCAGACAGTATCTACTCCATGGTGGGTGCCTCATGTCTCATAGTAACTTGGCGGCTGATGGTCAAGTGCTCCAACTCTTATTAAGGTCAAGTAGAAAGTCAAAGCCGTTTCTGAACAGGAGAGTAGTTATCTGCATAGGATGCCATGACTCTGCTGCAAAATCCTAAGGGTCCTCCTTGTGTTTCACTGTGGGGTCCTGCCAAAGGCTCTGGGCACAGCCCTGCCTGCCACCGACACTTCAGGCTGACTCCTTATGCACAACATGACAGGATTTCAGCCCTTGCTTCTTGTTACTGTTAATTATATTTACTTCTAGGGGAAGCATATAGAATCACTCACTAAACTCTTGTGTATATGTTTGATATGGACCTTGTGAAAAGCAGAATAACATCCCTCCCCAAAAGTTCTCCATGTTCTAAGCCCCGAAACCAAGGTTCCTTTTTAAAATCTTCAAAATATTATAGATTTGCTTTCCAGTGGAGGATCAACCTTTCTTTCCTTCCATTTGGAGGACTGTGAATGAGAATGATCAGCAATTTCCTTTCCTTATGAGGCTGGGAGGAGACTGGAAACTCTTTCTTAGCCCAACGCCCTGTCTCATGTCTTGATGGTTCTTCCGGTGTCCTAAGACTGAGAAGTTCCA